TATGCAATTCTGGATTAAGTAGTACGATCAAGAAGCTGCATAGTAGGGTCGATGTATTTTTCTCTAGCAGCAATGAATGGTGTTCACAGCTTTGGATTTGGATTTGAATGATGTAATGAACCCAATTTCTCAACACAAACACAAACTTGTATATTATACTTACTGAATGGAATTACATTAGAAGCAAGAAATACTAACGGAATTAAAGGGGAATGGAAGCATAACCAGAAGGGGATGAGAAGCCAGAGATACAGAGATAGAAAGGGGGCTAGAAGACAGACTCGGAGAAAGGGGAAAGGAACTTCAAAATATAATCGTCTCCTTTATTTTACTAATCTACTGCTATTTACACATTCTCTAACCCGGGTCCCACACATAACTTGCTAAATTTCCCAATACGTCCTCCAAGATGTTATTTCCATTCATAACAATACCCTCATCCTCAATAAGAACCTTGTCCTCAAGGTTCAAGTAGAGCAACATTGATATCATAGCGGTGATTATGCCAAGACTTGAACGTGGATCAGGTGTTACATCAACGAGAAATGGGTCTGAAAAACGGCTATCAAACAGATCCCATGAGAGTAATGTTGCAAAGAACAATGTTGGAATATGCAACACCTTTGAGTCAACTATTAGATATAGAGCAGCAGTTGGGATCTCACAGACTGACTCATGAAAAACCATATTGAACTTAGCCCCATCTAGTCTGGCAACACACTGTGCCATCACCCATCCATTGACAACATGACATAATCTCTTCAAAGCCTCCTGGAAAGCATGGTCTCTTAGGATAATGGAAACTAAAACAAGGCCAGAAACAATATTTTTAGCAACTGTAGCTCTTTTGTCTAGACACCAATATTTACAAGCATGAAGGTAGAGTCTAGAAAGGTGCCTGGCAGGCGTATGCAGTTGGTAGACAGAACTTTCATGCTCAGATACCACTAAGTAAAGAACAATTTCAAGGGCAACAGCTTTTCTCAACTCCGTCTTAAGTTTGTCAAGCCTTGAATCCATTTCTCCAATCTTTTGCTCTAAACCTGCTTTATCTTCACACTCGCAGGTTTTCACGGTGTTGATTATTTCATCATCGCTACCAACAAAATAGCGACTTCCACCAAGTGGATCCCCATTCCTTCTGTTGTAATTCAAGTAAAATTGATCGTTTGATGCCTTGTACCACCATTCATCTTTAGCACATATACCATCCCGACTGTTGTTTATAAACAATTCAGAACAAAAACTACCAACCTCGAGTATTTGCCATGTGTCGACCCAATTGTAGACACGTATTCCAAAATCACAGTAAAGCCACATAATACTGTTATCTGTACCATCACTTCTCTTAGTTGCTCTAAAAACTCTAGTAAGTTGTGGCATATTCGTGCCAAATGTAAGTTGCAAGAGAACACTAAAGGGAGCAATAACAACAACATCAAATAGATCCCCTGCTTTTGTCTTGTGTTCACCTAAGAAAAGGTTAGCAACCTTGTGAGGACAGTCTGATATAACTACGTGGAAGTCATTGAGCTCAACTATTGTCTGTTTGTTAATTGTCAGTATAGGTTCATTGCTCATATTCCATGTACCAATTCTTGCAAACCTTGTGTCGGCCTTTTGAAATTTCTGATCGAACAACTTCAGCACCTCATCTACTAAAACTTCGGCGCCTTTTTCTGTTATAACATTAAGCACACACTTCGCTAAAGTATCTTTGTCATAGTATCGCAACATAATTTCAGCAAGCAATGCAAATAACAAAACAAGAAGGTTTTGTCTCCCGGGTAATATCGTCGTTACTGGTTCCAACTCCGTCAAGTCGGATGAAGGATCTTTTTCAGAATTATAATAAGGATGAAAAGCTGGAGATGTAACTGCCAGTATCAAATTAAATTGCAAAATGTAGGAATGTAAATACCATTTCTGTCTGGGATCCCATACTTTAGTCGTAGAGTTAGAAAATGCAAATGAGCAAAACTTGCCAGCAAATCCCAACAGTAGTAGTGCATGCATGTACTCGGTATGACCGGTTAGACTCAAGGTCTTAAAATTTACGCCAAGAATAGTAGAAGGTCCACCAAGGTTCACAATGAGTAGATCCGCTCCGGGGTCGAATGGGAATCGAGTCACGTAATCCTTAACTAGTAACAATTGATTGAAAGTTGAAACCAGTTTACCACCAGGATCCAATACGTACTTAAATGTTGTCCTGGTGCCAGCAAGTTGAAGGCTAATCACTGAGCCTGTTTCATTCCATCGAGAGATTTTGTCGAACACTTGGCCATTGCTGAGTTTTGGACCTAGCATCTCTGGATGAGTAACACCATTGGGTACGGGAATTGTGTTGCTGTCCGTCTCGATTAAGTGTTCTAGCTCGAACAAAATAGAAACACTCTGTCCATGAGCCACTGCCAAGGGAATAGCAGAAAAGGCATTTGCACATTCCTGCCTTGATTTAGCTTCACAATCGAGAGCCTCTGTTGCATCTACAAAGTCTGTATGCTTATTCGAGGATTCAAAATCTGGTTCTTCATCAACCATAGGGGAAATATAGATTTCTGAAATATCATCATGTGCTACTGCAGTCGTGGTCGACTGGGGACTTTCATCAAACACCTTGTCTTCGTCGATGGCGGACTTGTCTCCATGAGACAGTCGAGCATCAGAAGCATGGAGTTCAAGGGCTTGTAGATAAGGAATTGAACTCATTGTGGAAGGAAAATGAATGTTGGGACTTGCTGTTGTAAGTGTTTCGTCGAACACTTGTTGTGTGTCTGATTTTACAGATGCAAAATTATGCAAGTTGGAATTATGGCTCGGAGCAGCAAAGGAAGATACATGTGCTTCTGTCGGAATCGAGATAGGATAACCAACACAGTCCCCACGAGCCGGTGCAATAACGGCTGGACGCCAAACCGGATCTACAATGTCTCGCTTCCGAAAATGCATGGTTAACTTCTCTGTGAAATGCTTCCAATCCCAAAATTGATTGTTCCGATATAGCCAATCGAACCAAGCCCATGCATCGCCATCAAGGTAGAGGTAAGCGAGAAATAACCGGTCCTTCTCAGAGAAGCCACGAAGATGAAGTAGCGTTCAGCCCGAAAAATCCAATCCTCTGGGTTACCCCCGCTGAATCGATCTAAAATCACCATTGGCACTGGAGTACGAACGATGAAAGCACCAATGTAATGAAACCCAATTTCTCAACACAAACACAAACTTGTATATTATACTTACCGAATGGAATTACATTGGAAGCAAGAAATACTAACGGAATTAAAGGGGAATGGAAGCATAACCATAAGGGGATGAGAAGCCAGAGATACAGAGATAGAAAGGGGGCGAGAAGACAGACTCAGAGAAAGGGAAAAGGAACTTCACAATATAATCGTCTCCTTTATTTTACTAACCTACTGCTATTTAAACATTCTCTAACCCGGGTCCCACACATAACTTGCTAAATTTCCCAATACGTCCTCCAAGATGTTATTTCCATTCATAACAAATGATAAAGAAGTTACTGATGCTTTATTCTCCTTTGTGTGTTTTAATTATGCATCATGTTTATCCTGTAGCTTTTTACTTGCTTGAAATGGATATATGATTATTTTGTTCCTCTGATTCAGGACATGGAGTCGATAGTAGAGACCATGATGCAGCAGCTTTTGTCAAAGGAAATTCTTCATGAACCAATGAAAGAAATTGAAGAAAGATATCCTAAATGGTTGGAGGACAACAAAGCTAAGTTGAGCACTGAAGATTATGAACGTTACAGACACCAGTATGAACTTATAAGAGATCTGAACAAAGTTTACGAGACTGAACCTAGCAACTTCAACAAAATTGTAGAGCTTATGCAGAAAATGCAAGAATGTGGCCAACCGCCAAATGATATTGTTCATGAGCTTGCTCCAGACTTTGATATATCATCTCTTGGACAGCTGTAAGTACTCTAATATTTTCTTGTTCATATTGAGTTAACTGCATACTGATAACTAAGTGGTTGTTATAGTTTGTAGTTATCGTATCCTTTTTCCTAATTTCCTCTGTGGAGAGCTAGTTTGCCAAGGTTTTTGACCTATACATGGTTTGCACTAAAAAGTTTGGGTTGTGGTTTAAATTCAACTCAACTACGCTCAACATCAAACTAGTTAGAGTCGGCTTATGAACCCTTAGTAGACATTCTGTTCTATTACAGCTCAGAGGAGTTCATAGTTTGACTAAGTTTACGCTGGTCATCGACGTATCACAACCCTCTCTTCCTTTATTCGGGTGCGATTTAGAAGTGCGAAAGTATCTTTCCTAGACTATTTTGGGGTTTGCTTATTGTTTACATAATTAAAGTTTTAGCTTTTGATAGTGATCTCACTAAGTTGAAGTTTCATACCTTCGATTATTTTTTACAAGTGGACACAGATCAAGGTTAGCATTATAGTTGTAAAATTTGAAGCGCGGCTTACATGTATTAAGATCTTTTCAGTACGGAAAAAAAAAAGGAAATACAAAACCCATCATACGCATGATCTCTACCATCAGTGTTTGAAGATAGATTGCGAGAAGTGTTTGATGTTTCGTAATACCTCATTAGACAATGCTATTATTCTGTATCCTTTTGGTATATTTAGCTATCTTTCCTGTTGTTTTGCAGATCCCCAGAGATGTTGGAGGGCCAACAGAACTGCTGTGTTATGTGAAAACTGAAATGTACCAGTCCGAATGTCCTGCTTGTTTTCTTTGTCATAGTTTGCATAAAACATCATTTATTTTGCCCCGGATTCTATTTGTAATCTTATTGCTCTTAATATTTCCTTTTCTTTTTTGGTGTTCACATAGGAGTCCTGTTAGGCCACAAAATGGTTGCAATTCTTATTCTTAAAACGGTGGAATAAGAACAACACAGATACGGCCAGCCAGTGCTTTAAGTTTAAAACAGTAATAGATGATGATAAAAGCTAAGTGTTGCCACCGGAGTCACAAAAGACTATCTAAATTGATTCACTCGACAGTTGCATCGATGATTTTCACTTGTTAATATATAGAGTTCAATAATCATATTTTGTGTTGATACAAAAAATGGGATTCCCACATTCATACGAGAAAACATAAGTAAACAAAGGTACAAAGAGATCACTATCGTTTCCTTTATAACTTATTTCTAATATAAACAAAATGAATGGAATGGAATTAAAGAATTGATTAAATGGCAACAGATGCAAAAAATGTTTAAGCGTCAGAGGGAGCAATCCAGTGGCGTCCGTTGACAAAGCTCTTGGCTAGAAATGGGTGGGCAGTGTCGTAATCCAGCTCACGGGCCCATGATACTCCCATCACTGCTGCTGCTCCTGGCCCCCAGCATTTGTACACTCCAAAAAATGCAGTCCTGGAATTTGTCATACCAGTTTAGGATTTAACTGAATATTCGAAGCCTAAAAAAGAGCAAAAATACAATAACAACTGATTTAACTAAAAATACCAGCGGATATATAATATTTATGTATAATCGTGTTCTATCAATGTATAATTTATGTCTCCTGTCTTACTTGTTCTTGTTGCTGACGTGGTCCCAGTCATCCCAGCCACCATGGGCTACAACGTCATCGAAGTAGGTGTAAGAATAGACAATTCTGGAGTATTGGCCCATAGCACGGCCCACGTAAAGTGGGCCGGACCCTGTAACCCTGCACCCTATGAATGCAAATCCAGACTTCTCGTCGGAGGATCTTCTATCTTGGGCTGCTATGGACCCAAATCTTGTGGCTATTGAATGTAGCTCGCAGTCCTGCGGCAACAAAAGCAATATATTTGTATTACAACGACAACGACGCATTAGTGGCATATGAGAGGATAGCATGTACGCAAACCTTACCCCTACCTAAGGGAATAGAGAAGTTATTTTCAAAAGACCCTCGCCTTAAGAAGACAAAGAAGCTATATATTAACACTTTTCTTAATTTTATTTGGACAGTTATTAATAATTACAACATCAACAACTACGTCTCGATCATAAAGAACTTGGGAACGAATAAAATATTAGAAGTATTAGTATGATATACTCTCTCTATCTTAAAAGTTTCACTATCATTATTTGAGGATCCAAATAATTTTTTTTCTTTTAACTATATTTTCATACATATTTACTCTAGGAACCCTACTAGTAATTATTTTGGACGTAAATAGTTGTAGCATAGTTTACTACTACAGCACCCATATCGTTGTAGTATTACTTTTTAATTAGTCGTGAACGTTTAAATAATGAAAAAGCAATCCTCCTTTTATGCTACAGACATCAAGAGCAGACAAGGATTCCAGCTTTAGCAAATCGGCGCAATTATATCTCACTTTTTCAATAATTTCTTGTAGTATACTATTAGGTACTACTATTATCTTCTTTTTCCTCATCTTTCCAATGCAACCAAATATTTTAAAACAAATTGTATTACTTTGTGCTCATACTTGTAAGATTCATTTTGATATATAGCAACTTTAAAAGTTAGCTCATTAAATAAAGATTGTCCTTGATCACAGTGGCGGATCTACCTTATCATGTAGGGGTATCACGGCACCCGCTCGCTTCGCTAAAATTTTTATTATGTATATAATATCTTTGTGAAAAAACGTATAAATGGATAGAGTGACACCCAAAAATTACAAAGTGAAAGCGGGTGTCATTGGTTCAGCCTTTCCTTTAAAGGCTTTCCGTGGGCTCATGACTGCAAGTTCAATTCCTTATTGGAGCAACTCCTTTGATTTTTCTTTTTTTCTACGTACTAAGATTTTCTTTATTTTCGGCTTGAGCCCTAGGGCCTCACCTCTTTTCCTTCTTTTTCGGTTATTTCTCTCTTTTTATTACTTGTTAAGCCTCTCTTCATTTTTTTTAACTTTCAGTACTCATTTTGTTTCTATCATTTTACCTTACTTTATGAATAATTATTTTCTATAGGTAATTTGAATTGATGTTAATTAGCATATAATTTTTTTATTTTTAATGAAACGATATTAATTTATATATTGGAATATAATTTGAGCAATATCTTCTATTGAGTTTTGAAAAAAAATTAAATGGCTTGATTGATAGTCGTTTTGAGTCTAATATCATAGGTTGAATGTTGAAAGTTTTTCTTTGAAAATAATTGTCATATAACTCAACAATTAAGATGGAAAAATAAACAAAGAACAATACAAGTAAATTAATCTAGTCAAACAAAGAATATATAGTGTAGTTAAGGTACTCTTTAAGCAAATATTTATATTGGAGGCGCTCTTTTTTCATGAAATGTTATTTTTCTTTTGCAGTTTTATTTAGAATATTTTTAAATTAAGCGTTAAAAATTTAAATTAAAATCGAACTTATTTGCTTTGTGAATAAAAGGCCTATTCAAATTAACCAAAAACTAACCGAACCGACCCATTATTCCTAATATTTCTTTGTAGCTACTGACATGTATACTGTATGCATAACATGGTGTCACCCGCAACCTTCGAATCCTGGATCCGCCTCTGCTTGATCATATATATAAGAGTAAATTAAAGTTTTAGGTATATACCTTATACATGGAGCGACCATTGCCAAAAATGAAGTCGATAGAGCCCTCAATGTAACATTCTTTGAAGTAATGGCGACCGGCGTCGTCGCAGAGAGTGTCCTGTGCGCCGTAGAATCCACAGCCGGAGAAGAAAGCCTTGTCGCCTGATATCCGAAATGCCACTGCTTGCCATCCCTGCATTCCTGGCAATGGTGCTGGTGCTGTGTTCTACAACAGCCAATTACCATTACATTCAACAAAAATCAGAGATTTTCTTGTGACAATTTTAATATTGTGGTAAAGATATGACAATACACTAGTAACAACAGCCAATTACCATTACATTCAACAAAAATGAGAGATTTCTTGTGACAATTTTAATATTGTGGTAAAGATATGACAATACACTAGTAAGAACCCATGAATTTAACTTATATATATATATATATATATATATA